CAGTGTGACATACTTGAAATGAAGACACCCCATTTCTGAAAGCAGACATTTGATTTTTGGTACAGGCATAAACATTCATGGGCCTTCAACCCAGTAATTTTCATATTCAAGTCCGATTTTCAACTGACTGTTCCGAATAAGAAGCTACAGAAATGATAAAATAGTCAAAATCAATGAAATGAATGTATTCGTAATGATTATTAGGTTTTTCATTCTCATTCCTACATTATAACGAATTTATTATTTTCGTAGCTTCTTATTTAGAACTATTAATTGAAAATCGGACTTTAATATGAAATTAGAATTTTGCGTTGAAATTCGGTATGTAGGGAAAAATCGATTTCCAAGCAACTTTCTCTAATAACTTATTTCGATATCATAAACGCAAAGCAAAATATTGAGAATTTGCCCTTTTCACAGGAACGGAGTAGGCTGCATTTGAGGCTGTCAGTCGAGCTAAGTATTGCGAAAAGTGCGGCGCTTGAAATCAAATCAGAAATCAAATATTGACGTATATGGTTATACGAGGGTGGTTTGAAAAGTTTCCGACTTAACAAAGATACAAGACATTTTTTTGATTTTTTTTCATTTCTCATATTCACCTTTTAACTCTACACACTCCTCCCAGCGATGCTTCCGTCTCTGTAACCCGTCGTACTCGGCGTTTTTCTCTGCAGAGTAATTGTTCACGAAGCTGATCGCCTCTTCATTTGATGAAAATCTCTGTCCCCCAAGTGCAATTTTTAGGTGAGAGAAAAAAAGAAGTCTTGGATCTAGATTTGGTGAGTAAGGTGAATAGTCAAGGAGTTCAAACCGTAATTCTTATATTTTTGACATGTCAGCCGCTGAGGTGTGAGACGGTGTGTTGTCAGCTTCCTCATGCTTAAATTGTTGATCTCTCTCACGTCAGTTCAGTGGTCATCTAGCACCATTTGGTGAAATTTGACGATGTTTTCATCGGTAGTTACAGTTTTCGGACTTCCCGAAAATTCATCGTCTCCCAAGCTCTTATATCCACGTTTCAATTCAGCTGTCAAAAATTCCACTGTGGTAAATGATGATGCAGAGTCCCCATACACATAATTCTACTCATCTTTGATTTGCGTAAGCATATTGCATTTCAAGACAAATATTTAATGACAGCTCGATACTCAATTTAGTCCATTTTCTTGAAAACACTCACATCAACTCACTCAAATGACTGTCACATAACAATTGCGAGTCCAAAATGGCTGACACTTTGGTGTGTAGCTGTCAACAGATGAACAACGAAATTCACTAGCTTTTATTTACGAGTGCTGCAATCTTCATGTTGAGGTCGGAAACTTTTCAAACCATCCTCGTAGATAAGTTGATAACATGAAATTGCAAAATTATTTTGGAAATTATCAAATTCATGAATTTTCAAGTTCTTTTTTCTCCGCTTGACTTGGATCATTTTTTAGCTTTGACGTCACACTCATAGTATTCACACACCATTGATAACTTCCTCTGTTATATAAAATATATCAAATAATATATTACAGACTACTTTTCCACCAATTAATAATGTACAGACTAATTTTCTACCAATGATCAATCATAAAACATTTGTGATTCACTTAGAAATTGAATGCCACTCCAAAAATAAGTACACAATGTGTCAATCGAAGAAACAGGTTAGTTCACAAGTTCATGAGCAGTTATTGATGTTTTGTAGTGGAGCCATTATTAATTGAAAGTTTACCTTTGAGCACTTAAAGATTTCAAATGATAGAGTATGTGAATGACCTGAAGGAGAGACTGCAAATTGTACACCAATTTGCCAGAACCGAATCACAGCTTTCCAGCGATTGGATGAAGATAAGATTTGACAAAAAGTCGCTGCCAGTGAGTTTCAAGGAGGGCGACGCAGTGTGGCTCCACCAACCCCAACGCCGCAAAGCTTTGTGCACCAAATTACAGAGACCATGGCAAGGACTTTACTTGGTAACCAAAAAAATTAACGATCTGGTGTACAGAATTCATTTGTCACCCAGAAGCAAGCCTAAAGTTGTCCACATATAGAGGCTGAGTGAGTCCTTACATAGGTCGTGATGTCTTCTTTTGGAATGTTGTTCGGGGCGAACAACCTCAGGAAAGGGGGTAATGTTGTGAATCATGCCCTAAAGAAAACACCACTGGTAACTATAAACCAATCGTGACGTAGCTAACAGTGCGCGAATGTACGATGTTCGCTGGCGCTCTAGATGTAGCGAGAATAATGCTACCGATTTCGATGGAATTTCGGCGAAATTTTCTAGCGCATTCGATTACGATATATAAATGCTAGCTGCGTGCATATCGAGACAGTCAAGTGGAAGTTACAGAGCGGGACGCGAAGCGATCTAGTAAGGCGATATGCATTCGAATAACAGTTGAAGTTTTAGTTGAAGTAATTGTCGTATTTAAATTGAAATAAAGTTAAGTTTGATTATTCAGTGTAGTCAATTATTGGACAACCCTCACGGGGAAAAAAGTAACAGTAACAATTGGAATGAAAAAATGGTTAAGGCTTTCGCGACAAAGGTTATACACCCAGGCTACAAATTGAACCAAATTGGGGTCATAACATGTACAGGCCCACTGATATTCACTTCTAATGGTCAAAAATTCAATATTGAATATTGTGAATTTTGATACCAATTACACAAAGAATAGGTATATCAAATCTGGGAAAACCAATTTCCCATATTAAAACATAAATTTGAAATGAAAATGGTTGTACACCACTAAACGTTTGGAAAAGAAATCGATAGTAGTTAGACACTCAGACAGCTTCATATTACACTCATTTGTACCAGATCTGTGGTATAAACAAGTTTAAGTTGAACACTGGACTCGAGTACCAATCTGCCAATTGTCGTGGGTTCAAGTCATGTCTGAAGCAGTTTTTCATTTTTTTAATTCTCAATATTCAAACTATTTGAAATTGTAGAAAAAACAGAAATAGAAAATATTTTTTTCGAATGCTTTTTCTGGTTGCTTCTTGTCAGGAAATTCAATGGTATTACTCTGTGCTGGTCATTAAGGGGTGGGGGATGAGGTATAACACTTGAGATTTGAGGATATGATAAAAATATTTCCATTTTGCATTTTTTTAACAAATATGTTTTGAAGATATTCGATCTGTTTCATTTTCGGAGCCGTACCATATAGACTATCTGTTTTAAAAAAAACTGTTTGAAATCTGTTTTTCCGTTAACCAGCTGTCGCACCCCTACGAACGACAACCCTCAGAAGTCGAAACTTGTGCGAGCTAAGGATTAACGAGGTCTTACCTTTTAACGTGTGATTCCTAACACGGGTTGCACAATAGCAAGTGAAAATCGTTTGTTTGAAGGTGGTTGACAATGTTTCGTGGTGTGTTTCATCAGTTCGGATTTTCATTGTCTAATATAATATAAATTGATATGAAATCCTTGAAAATAATTGAAAAAATTAACCGAAAATAACAATTTTATCAAACAAAAAACTGAAATTACAAAGAAATAACATATAAGCTGAAAATTAAAAAATATTAACAAAAAATGAAAATTAAAAGATTCCAAACCAAGTTACGTCACGATGTTTCGATTGTTAATATTCACAATCATCTTCGGGTGACAACTGGACTCATTTTTCCGAGATTTGACTATTTATAGGTCATTCGGGTGCTTTCACCCATCCCCAATTCCCTCTCTCCGCTCCATTGGTTTCAGCGGGAAATGACCGTTTGGCGGGAGTTGGTCGTTTTTCGCTTGATTAGAGGTTTCCATATGCCACGTATCTCTACGCTAGCTTGACTAAATGCGTTGTTGGACAACATATACGCGGCTTCCTTGAATTTTCTCCAAAACCAGTGTTCCTCTTTGTGGATGATTTCAGCTTGAGCCCACTTGATGTTGTGTTGATGAGTCCAAACATGCCTTGCTATTCCGGATTTGCTGGTTTCTACTCGGTGTGTGTGTTTCTAGTGCCGGATAACCTGCGAGTGCGGATAATCATACATCGGTGAAACTAAGAGGCCATTGAAAGTTCGTATTGCTGAGCACTAGAAACACACACAGCGAGGAGAAACCAGCAAATCTGGAATAGCAGAGCATGTTTGTACTCATCAACATAACATCAAGTGGGCTCAAGCTGAAATCATCCACAAAGAGGAACACTGGTTTAGGAGAAAATTCGAGGAAGCCGAGTATATGTTGTCCAACATGGCATTTAGTCAAGCTAGCGTAGAGATACGTAACATATGGAAACCTCTAATCAAGCGAAAAACGACCAACTCCCGCCAAACCGTCATCTCCCTCTGAAACCAGTGAAGCGAAGAGAGGAACAGGGGATAGGTGAAAGCACTCGAATTACCTATAAATAGTCAGATCTCGGAGAAATAAGTCCCGTTATCAGCCGAAGACGATTGTGGATACTAACAATCGAAACATCGTGACGTAACTTGGTTTGGAATCTTTCAATTTTTAATTTTCATTTTTTGTTAATAATATTTTTCAATTTTCAGCTTTTATTAATAATTCAATTTTTTTTGTTGTTGCTTGTATGTTATTCCTTTGCAATTTCAGGTTTCTGTTTAATAACATTGTTATTTTCGGTTAATCTTTTTGATTTTTTTCAGGGATTTCAAATTAATTTATATTATATTAGACAATGGAAGTCTGAACTGATGAAATACAAGTGAAAATCCATCGTTCAGACTGGGGCTTGTACCACCAACCAACACGCAAGTCAATTCGAGTGAGAGAACAAAGCACCCACGTCGAACCAGCTGTCTACCGACCGATTTAATAATTTTCTTTTCACAAACACAGGACTGTCAATATTTATTTGAGTTGCATAGATGCAGAAATAGCTCTCATCCTTGTCTGAAGTCATAATGCAATATAAGAATTTACAATATAACTGCAGTATAAAACACAAACCACATGGTAATGACTTCTCACTTATTTTTTAAGTTTCAACGAAATACAGAATAAATTTTTGTTATCTAGGTATTGACCCCATTGTTCCTGTTCAAACTCCAACAATGAGCAGCGCTGCCATTATTGGTATAGTAATAGCAGCTATACTCCTGGTCTTGATTGTGCTAGATATCACTTGCTATTCAGTTAATAGACTTGGGGTGATAGCGATGTGCTGCAATTCAAAATCCAAAAAAGCAGATGAAGAGGATCCTAAATTGGGAAGGTGAGAAAGTAATATGTTTCTAACGAAGATTTTTCTGGATATCATTGAGTAATGGGGTTACTATTTACTTCAATTACACATTTACTATATTTTTTCCCAAATTGTCAAGCTGACTTCACAATGTGCATTAAGATTTGAAATACCGATTTCCGTAGTTTTGAATTGGATGGAATTCAGTAAAATATTGTGTTGAGACCATGTACCAATGTGTGAGTATTTTTGCTTCTTCTCAGAATGATATAATTGTAAAGTTTTTGTGGAATATGCATCATTTTGGATCTGTGGATCAATTATTGAATTATTTGTTCACGTCTCTCATTTTTATCAAAATGAATTTAGTCTATGATTATTTTTGATTGACAAATTTCTATTTCATAAAAAATGGCGTCATTAGAAGTTTGCTGTACAATTTTTCAACACCGGTTCGTCGTATAGGCGTTAATTGATTATAGAAACAAAATTGATCTCAAATTTTAAATCGATTGATTTTATGAAAAAAATTCGCGAGCAGTGTAATTAACGGCACAACTGGAACCTCTGGCGTAAAATAAGTTCTGTTCTCTAACACAAGAACTGCAACATTCACCTCGAGGCGCGTTTTACTCATCAACTTGGCATCTTAAGGAGATGAAGTAGACTTGACACCAACTTGGTTTGTGAGACATGCATCAAAAAGAGTGTTGCAGTTCTAGTGTTTGAGAACAGTGCTCGCTTTGGAAGTAAGAATTTTTGTTTTGAGTGAGATATATAAGCCCTTCAGAGGATCAATAAACAAGTGAAACTTCGTGTATTCAAGATGAATGCATGTGCATAGATGCCCTTGAAATATTTCTTCTTCAAAATAAAATTCGACATTGGCCTTGTTATATAAATACGAAAATATATTGATATATTACAGGATTTTTTTCAAAATTACATTGGTCGCAAAATAAGCTCTGTTACGCCAGCGACGCAAAGTACAGAAATCGCATTTACAAAATACCAAAATTAGGTACTTTTTAGGTACCGAAATCAAAAATTAGCTGCTCTGTAACTTACACCGCAACTGAGTACTTAAACAATAATAACAATAATATCATCTTCATTATCTTCTTTTACATTTAAAGCAAATTAATTAGGAACAGTTCATTTATTATATGATGATGAAATGCTAGCAACGCAAGTTGCTAACATTATGTAATGCTAGCAACGCAATGAAAATAATAATGAGATAGTGAATGTTAAGGAAACACTATTAGGTGTTTAGGTGTTAAGTGCTGACGGTGAGGATTGTTAAATTTTCTAATTAATAAACAAAAGCTTCAAATTTCGCTAAACAACAGATCTAAGGATCAGGTCTCTCGAAAACGGGGATGAATGCTCAATCAGGTATAAACTAAGCATAGTAATAAAGTGCTAATTTGGTACTTGAAGGAAATTAAGATGGAAACGACCGTAATAAACAAAAAAAAACATCCGGGATACCTGATTTGACGAAAAAATCAACAATTAGCAATAAAGTCTTGGAATGCTTAAAGTGCTAATTAGGTGCTCACTAGATATTTATAGTAAACCTAGATTCAATAATGGCTATAGGGCTCACGGACCTGAAAACCACCATGACTGATGTACTGAGTTCTTATAGTACCTTTCTCAATAAATAAGGGCAAGAGAATAAAGTGCTTATTAGGTCCTCACTAGATATTTATAGTAAACCTAGATTCCATAATGCCTATGGGGCTTATGGATCTGAAAACCACTATGACTGATGGAATGGGTTCTTACAGTACGTAACTCAATAATGAAGGGCATGAGAATAAAGTGCTGATTAGGTGCTCATTAGATATTTATAGTAAATCTAGATTCCATAATTCTTATGGGGCTTATGGGCCCGATAACCATCATGACTGATGTACAGAGTTTTTCTGGTATTTTCTCACTATCATGACGGCATTAGAATAAAGTGCTATTTAGGTGCTCACTAGATATTTATAGTAATCCTTGATTCCATAATGCCTATGGGGGTTATGGATCTGAAAACCACTATGCCTGATGGACTGAGTTCTTACAGTACATGGCCCAATAAATAAGGGGACGAGAATAAAATGCTAATTAGGTGCTCATTAGATGTCCATGGAACACCCGAGTTCCATAATGCCTATTGACATTCGCGCTCAAAATTTCCATGATTGATGTTCTTTATTGGGTTGGTATCCGATTCACTTCCTTAGTGCACGTCTGAGAAAGCTGAAAATAATCTATTTCTGTGAAAATTTCTAGAATTGAATAAAATAACGTTTTGATTCTCATTTTTACGAAAAACAATTGGAGAGAAAGTCATTTTTTATTAGCGGGCGTTGCAAGACTACTTTTAACTGGTTTGTCTATATTGAATAGAGTGATCCAATAAAAACAGTCTTTCGCTTACCATCTAGAATTTTTTTAGAATGTTACAAAAATTCTTTCAGAAGTGCAGCTCGATATCTCAACTCTTATGGAGGTCACTGAATTTATAATTTTCTTTCTAAATAACACGTAAAACAATTTTTTTCATAAAACAATTTTTTTCCGTTTTCTTTCAGTAGTACTACGAAAATGATTTTGAATCAAATTTTGAAGCTTCAGTTCTTGTCGGAAATTTATTTCTTATTGAAGAAGCTCTGATCCTTTTTTGTCGACTTAACATATGAAGATGTATGAAGCTCTAATAACCGGCAAGGACAAATATTTGCTATTATTATAGTTGAAAAATAAAAAATTCGAAATCTTTTCTTTAGTCTGTTTCAGATGATATCTCACACTTCTTATGTTAAATCAAATTATCCATTTTTATTATTCATCTTTACATTTATATTCGGTACAGAGAAGTTATTTAGTATACACTATCAATTGCGGAATAATTTGATGACTCTTAGGACGATTTTTTTTAATTCAGTCCATTGATTGTTACGGAAACAGTAATTTGAATATAGTCTTATTTGTTTTGTTGAATTTGCTTGATTTGCACTTCTTGACTGTCGTAGAGAATTGCATGATATTATTGATCTTAGGATCAATGGTGATGCAATTGTAGGTAATTGTACAGTTTTTGGAACTTCTCTAAGACTCATAGCTTCATCATTTAGTGCTGGCTCACTGTCTTTGTACGAAACAATCCCTAATAAAACTATATTCTCTGCAAAATAAAAAAAAAATCATTTACTATTTGCTTATTAAAATACACTTACCTACTAATATAATGTTTATAATTTAGAAAAAAATCTTTTTAGGCACGACATGAGGGTAACTCAGTTTTTTTGCCTAACGGAAGTAACGCTTACTATTCTACAGTCTATTCAGATAGTTTCCGCTGTTCAAAACTAGGAACTAATATTAGTCGTCAGTACTAACATAATGTTAGAATTATATCTAACAAATATAGTTTTATGATGTATCATTTTGCGTTGGTCACGCCATCTAATGAAAAGCTGGCAACGCCACTCATTGTAACAAGTAGTTGAAGTAGTGTATAAATAAAATGTCATAGTCGTGTTAGTGTGTTCCTGTTATTTTCCATTTTCTACCGTTATTACAACACAGAAGAAAAATAAAAATTCAACAGTTTTGAAAACATTGTTTATAATTGCACAGTAATATTTTTTGTAAATTTCCAACTATATTTATTCAATCATTTATTATTACTTTTGTAGTAAATGAGGTATCTATACATTTTTTAGAAATTTTCTACCGTTTGCGACATTTTTCAACATTTAATACTACATGACATGTTCTTATTCAACATTCATAGAAAAATTTTATCTAACCAAGAATACTTCTCCAATTTAATCAACAAAGAGATTAGATAAAACGACGGAGGCTGTATATAAATAGTATATATAAATGAATTATTATATCATATTTATTTTTAGTTGAGTTTAATTGTTTCAGTGATATGTATTTTAAACATTAAAGAAGTTTGTCTTCAATAGCATGTGAATATTACATGCACCGATTTCTATATTTCTATCATTCTCAATGATAGTTCAAATTTATAATTACTTTTTGGATAAAAATGTATTTCCAAGCAACCCGGAGACTTGTATCTGATCCAGCCTTCAAAATGGGAACTTTTGATAATTTATTTTTCAAAAAAAAAGCATTTTGTGAGTAGGTAGCTTGCAAGTAATGTCCACGAGTTTCCTTGTTGCATTTCTCCACTTGGTTTTTCCAATTATCAAAATTTTCAGATTCTATCAGTTCGTAGATATTGTTCTGTTGACTACAATATAGGCATACCAAAATTTCCTAACTATGATTCCTATCCTCACTTAAGTTTTTCGCTGAAAACTTATTACATTGTACAATAATAATTTTTTTTATCAAACCAGGTGCCCGCATTTTTTTCCGGTTATTTACGGTCGTTTTCATCTTAATTTCTTGCAAGCACCTGATTAGACTTTAAACCACGCTTAGTTTATAAGCTTTTGTTTATCAATTAGAAAATTTAACGATACTCACCGTTTAGCACTTAATAAGCATCTAATAGTGTTTCCTTAACATTCATTATTTCATTATTATTTTCATTGCGTTGCCAGCATTACATAATGCTAGCAGCGCAACTTTGAGTGTTGAGTTGCGGTGTAAGTTACAGAGCACCTAATTTTTGACTTCGTCACCTGAAAAGCATCTAAAAAGTACTTGATTTTGGCATTTTGTAAATGCGATTTTCGTACTTTGCGTCGCTGAAGTAACAGAGCTCGCAAAATAATAAATTTAACCACATAACCATTTCATATTGGTTGATGAAATGCGCGTTAGGAAAATGTAACAATTGAGGACGGCGGAAAAAGCTTTTTTGTTGCATTTGTCAAGATCAACTCAAAAGTAGACATATCAGCAATTTTGTTTCTTGATCTCAGTCTCTGAAACGAATACTATTCTAGTAAATAAATATCTTTTTTTTTTATTCAGTTCAAAACTACCACTCGTTCTTCATGTTAATTGTGCTTATTTATTGAACGATCACTGATCTAAATTACCATATTAGCTACTGAAAATATCTTGAACAGACAAGTAAATGTCACTTTAGCCTTATGCCCTTTTTTTCTATAAGTCATGCTTGACCCAAAAACCATCACACATACATACCAGGGTATTTCAGTTTATACAGTTGGCGTTTTCCGCTGCCTTATTGCAGTTACAAAGCTGCGCCCGCACATCCAAGCAGCCTCAATCTGCCCCAGCCTATCAAGCTCTCCTCTTCACCTATGTAAGATCATTTTTGTAGCATGCTGGAATGCAACTACATAAGTTACTATTTTATGTATCCAGAATTAAAAGCACTAGTAATAAGACATTTACTTATTCATCCATCTTTCACGTGATTCAACAATTATTAAAAATGTTAAAACAAATTTCATTTTTATAATGGAGAAACAATACTTTATATCAATTTTCAGTAATTGATTATTTGTTTAAATTGAAAGGGGTGTATTTTTAGGGGAGATTAATTTCAGAAATATATAATGAACAAAGCAACTAACTTAACAAGAAAGTATCTGAATAATAATAGAGGTATTCGATTTTCTTACCAGCTAATATGATTTTGAAAATATATGTGCATCGCTTCTATGGTCAGAAACACAAAATTATTCAAGTAAAAAGTGAAAACATTGACACAAGTATTCGTTTATTAGAACTCCAATAGTTCACACTTGTCGAGTATGATATTGATCTAGTAGAAATTATTATCATATAAGTAGATGAATTATTGATAGGTAAACGAGGAAACTACAAGTAGGTATACTCACATAAAAAGTTGAAATTACACAATTTTATTATAACGGCATTTTAAATAAAATTATTGTAAAATTTGGCAAACTAATTTATCGTATTCTGTTTTTCATTGTCAGACAGTTCTGATTCACTCTCACTGGTATCTTCTCCAACATTCATTATGAATTTTTGCACGTCATTCATAATGTGCCCTCTTTCAAAATATTCTTCTTCAATCTTCCCTAAGAATTTGCAAATGTTTTACCAGTTGTGTGTCCTGTTTGCCTCCGCACATCAGGTAATTTTAATGAAACATTACCGGATGCTACTTCAGTCTTTACTAGTGCTCATATTTTTTCTTTGGGGTTCAGGTCCGAATGGTACAGTATCAACAATGTATCTTTTATAAGCTGGTTTATGTTTATCAATTGATACTTATAATTGAGGTTTCAAAGCATTGGCTTCATATGGAATATCTCGTTTCGTTAGCCATAGCTGCATCGCTGCTTTTTTTCATGAAAACTTTGGACTGGAATCAACCTGAATATTGTGGTAGGAGACATTATCCATAACATAACGTGTTTTTTGGAACATTAAGGATGAATTCATCTTCAGACCATTGTGTTGAATTTTTAGAATCCTGATGCACCTCTAGTATGTATGATGGAAAGATGTCTTCCTTTGGACACTGGGGATTTCAAAAATTTATTTTTGCCAACGCAAAGTCCCAAGCATTTGGTACCATATATGAACTGTAGGTTTCATTGCAATATATTATGGTTCGTCCTTATTTCTTATATTTTTTAAATTTTCGTGAATATCCAGTGCGCATAGATTCACTGTCAAATTTCTCAATCAATACTTTTCTATTGGCTTCTGTTTTACTCCTTCAGAATTCCATTTTACAAATTTTCTAAAAGTATCAATCTTGCCTGTAAAATTAATTCCCTCTTCATTTTCAATAGCTTCAATTATTCTTTTCATTGTAGGCCTTCTTTCATGAATAGCTGTATAGAAGTAAATGATTTTTCTGGTAATTTCCTCTCAAATTCATCAACTGATCTCTTGGAAGTTGAAGGTTTGTTCATGGATTTCCTTTCCTTAGTGATTTGAAGGGAGCAGCAGATGTCTTGTTCTTATCTTAGGTAAGTATGCTTATCACAGTAGTGATACCAACTCTACAAACTTCAGCTACTTTCTCTTGTAGATTGCTCAGAGGAATTATTACTGCTCGTCGATCTTTCTCGATTTGCATAAACTTACACCTAAAGATTATAAAAAATTTTTCGACCTTGCCTGTGAATTACTTTCTTGGAACTGTAGACTGGCATTTATAATGAAGGAATGAACAAATTATTGTTAAAGACTCCTTGAGTTTAGGTAACACATTATGGTGAGTTTTTCACAAGGCAGTCTACAAAACCACAAGCAACCGCAACACGTGTTTCGCAATACAATAGCTTTCTAAAGCGTTATCTACTGACTAAATTCTACTTAATTCGATGTTTTAAAACACTTAATAGACAAGTTTCGGAACGTAAAATCGTTATCTGCGCCTGTATGAGTCATTGTCGGTAAGAAAATCAACAAACACACGCATTATGTTTTATTAAGTATATTATTATTATTTTTGTGAACGTTGAATTTTTGTATTTTTTTATTGAGATGAACGTCGATATTAAATAGTCTTATGAAAATGAAATATTCATTGTTTGATTGATATTTCCGAAAAATCTTGTCATCAGTATTGAAAACGTTTTATTAAAAAAAGAAGGCCATACAATTTTTGTTGAGGTGTTATGTTTCTCCATATAGAGATTCTTTTACAGAAACTTGTGTATGGAGCGGTCACTGTAAACGTGGCACCACTGTGTTGAAACCACATATGAACTGTAGTTTTTGGAATCATGCATTCTGCTGTAAAAACAGAAGCCAGTGTTCCTTCTACCAAATGCGATGGTGTTCAAGACATCTTATTTGAAAAAAAATCATGTGTGTGTGTCTTGTGGATAAAAGACTTATGGATAGGAATGATCAAAATGTTGAAAATATTGATTTCGGAAATGTCGTTTGTTTTAATTGCATGAGCCTAACACAAACCATTTTTGGAGTATTCGATTAAGATTGAGGTATCTATATAAGAGAATAACCCAAATTCTTCATTGAAAAGATTTTTTGTTTCTGGACGGGAAAGTTTTTCTCAAGAGCTTTTTCGTTTTTTCCATAATTATAAAAAACATGTGGAAAACTTCCGAAGAAAGGAAGAGGGTAATTAACATCAATCAAAACTCTACATAGATATATACATCGTACACTAGAGTTTCATTCAGATAAAGAAGAAAAAAAATCTTGATAAGTAAAATTTGAAATTTCTTTTGTAAAATGAATCTATTGGTTAACAAACTTAGCATAATCAGGAGACGACTAAAACTTCTTCTGTATTAATGTTTTTATATACATCTAGACAAATCTATATCTTACATAATGAGGGTCAATTAATTAATTCCTAGTATTTCGTTATTATTCCTATTGTTCAGTGTCATTCCCCCTACTTTATATCCCTAGGGTCACAGATAGTGACCCTAGTAATATAAGGTAGTAAGAACGGTAGGACCAGTATTTATAATTTTCCCAAAAGGTTGAAAATACATCCCAAAACGGGTAATCTGGCTTGCGCACGACACGCCCACTTTGGACCTTCAATGAAAAAATTTAATTTAAACTCTTCAAATATCAAAATTAAGAATTGAAGAAATTCAGGAACCAACTGGATGAATGAATGAATGATAATACCTGGTCAAAAAGTTTCATCAAATTCAAAAAAATCATTTTCATGTAGCTGCCGATCCTTTAAAACGAATCGATAGTAATATGGAAAAGAAAATATATATTTTCAATGATTGATGAAGCTTTTTATTTTTAACCTAAGTAAATTATTGAAAAAAATTTTCACAGCTTTGCTAAGTCTTAGCGTTGTTCCTTGGATGTCGAAACTTAGTGGTTTCAGTCTTCTTTTCTTAGAGAGTAGGACATCTTCAGTTTTCTCGGGAACCAATTTCAAGCGCAGCCGGTTGATTTTTTTGAGATACGAACTAGTCCTCTGTTCGTCAAATTCACCAGAAGGTCTACTGTTTTTGCTGTCACTATCGCGGCAACATCATCCTCTAAACCGATAAGTTTTATTTCGTCAGGCATTTCCGATTTCAGAAAGTCGTCATATTGGATGTTCCATAGAGTTGGGCCCAGAATCCAGCCCTGGGGTACACCACTACTTATTTCAATAGATTTGACACTTTCTTCGCTCTCCAGCATTACCTCCCTCTCCGATAAGAAAATACCAATCAGGCTCTCCAATATCCCTCTATCTCTCAGTTTGTTCAGAATCAACTTCACTATTGACAGCGTTCCTGATGTCTAGCGTTATCGCAACGCAGAGAAGTCCTTGAGCTATGGCTTCCCTTGCACAAAGTATCACTTTATTACTGCGTCCGTGGTTTGCCGTTTTCGGAAACCATATTGGTTCGCTGATAGTCCCCCGGTTCGTTCCAGTTCTTCGTTGATGCGCTCGAGCCTTAGGTGTTCATTAAACTCGTCTTCTACATCCAGTAGGCAAATTGGTCTAAAGGAAGAAATATTTTCAATTGGTCTGTCACCTTTCCTTTTCAGAGCTATTTTTCATTCTGTGGGAAAATCTGCATGATCTGTTGTCACAAATGAATTTTACCTCCTCATGAGTCGGAAAGAGGTACTTGGTTACTTCATTCATTGTGTCCATTGTGAGACTTATTTGGAGCGGATACCTCATTACTTCCCTCACAGAATGTCCTTTGCCGTTGTTGAGGTTGTTCTAGAGTTCCCTGTATATTATCTTCACTTCTTAAGACATTCTTTTCGAAGGCTAGCAATTTCGTGATTCCACCAGTAAACCGGTTCCTTGCAGATTCTTTTTCTGGTTCTCGGCATAACCTTGTCACATATCTGTACAGGGTTTTCTGAGAAATTATTTGGGGAAAGTATAGCCTCATTTTCCTCCACTTCTTTCAGTATCGAATAGAGCTTCTCTCGGTCTATTTTTTTTGCCAATCTTGTGTATGTTTGGATGTATGTAGTTGATTTTGTTCCGTGACTTCAAACAGTTGGTCACTGAGATGTTCTTCATCCAGCACATTTCATGATGTTATGAGCTGTGGAGATTGTGAGGTCTAGAACCATAACTTCTGTGGATAAAGGTAGGTTCCTTGGTTTATGATAACCAGGTCAGTAGCTACTATTCATTCTGTCATTTTGTCGCTAGATCATGCGCTTGTCGACTCCTGTTGGTAGTGATTTGTAGGATTCTTATCCTGATCGAGATGAATTTCTGATGCCTCCGACCTTATCATATTTGAGATTATTTGGCATTTACGAGTTTCTGTCTGGTGGCCCTCCAGATTGTATAGAAGGCAGTGTGGTTCGTTTTTGCACTCCTCCACCATATGGCCTCCCTTCCCACATTTTATACAAAGTTGTTTACTATTCGGCCCAGTGCACTGCATTGCTTTTTCAGATGCCCACGCTTCCAACACCTGAAATATCGCTCATCATTTTTCCTCTCAGAGAGTCTCCAGCCAATTTCTGCTGATTGAGCTTCCAGTGATTTTTCAGCGCCATTTTCTTCAGTTTTTTTTTAATAATCTATCTTTGAAATTACTACGCGAATTTCATTCTCGGTCACCACCTCATCCATTCCCCTAACAAGTATAGTCTTGTTGATTTTGAGTAGATGAGTCGTAGTTTCCGGTACTTTTTCAGTGCTTCAGCTTCACTCCATCTATTTTGAACTGTTGAGATGACTTCGTTGTTTCTACTCTTCCTGATTTGCCTGATTTCAGCGCCCACTTCATAAGGGTTGACTGTCTCTTTTATTTTTCGAAGCAGATCAGCTTATGATTTTTCTTCCATACGTACCAATAAGACGTCCTGTCTGGGGTTTCTTGCCTGCTGGTTTTGTAATTTACGTTTTTGGGTGTTACTCATGCTTCTTTTCCGTCGTATCGTTCCTTTCGTTCTTGCCTATTCGCTGTTATGGTCTTGATATACCAGACCAAGGAGACCACCTGTCTCAGGAATGACGAGCTTGTTTAGGTTCTGTCTTATTGCGTGTTCCTTTATATTCGCTAGAGAATGAAAAAGTAGCTTGTCTGACTTATTATTCACTACCATGTCTTGCTCAAAGATTGGATAATACCTCTCCTGCCGTCAAACTTCCTTATGATTCCATTTATATTTTTATCCTTGGACTCTATTTTACTGGTACACAGCAAGATGATATTCATTTGAAGCATCCGTGGTCTGTAAATTTTCGATGCGTTAATGAATATGCACAAAAGTCTTCGTATGTCCCGTCTTTTCTCAGTTGTTTTCTTCATCTCATTCTTTGCTCCATATCACAGTTTCCGTACTTTGCGTCAGGAATATTGAATAAAACCTCAAAATACTACTTACCTCGCAGATTTTCATTTTTGGCTTGTAGGCTTGTTTTAGAACTTGCTCTGATGACTTCCCCTGGCTTGTAATCTGCCTCAGCACTTCCATCAGCTGATGAGAATCCATTTTTATGGTCTAGGGGGAGTCCTAGCTAAAACGTTTCTTTTTTTAACAGGATTTTCCTTACCAACAAGTGCCCCTTCTCCAACTTTTTCATTCCAGCTCCAGCTTTCATTCATTTGATTTCCACGAGATGGGTGGTTTTAATGTCCGGCGTGGCAGAAATATCAGTATTTTTGTTGTTTTCATTTGTATTATTCTTCATGTAATTCCCACGATTAGGGCAGAAAGTAGGTCAGCCACAGCAGTGCTCCCTTACTGTGACAAGGTCTATATCATTACCAGATATCCAACTGGCATGTTTGCGGCACGATCACGCAATAAAGAGATTTTCCTTAGGCACGATAGGCTTACACCGTGGGATTCCCGTCCAGCAAGGGAGGCCCTACCAGTAGGTAATCTACCGCTGGCATTGCTCTTAGGATCATAAAAGCACGCAAGCCCCATCACCACGACAAGGTGGAGTTACCGCCGATGGGTATATAAAAAAAGTAGCTACCTAACATCAATTACTGTCGTTGTTAGTAACTAAAACGGCAATCAGATAACAATTTTGAAAAAAAATCCAACATTATTTTTTTGAAGTTTGAAGTATTGTCTCAATTGGAAGGGGTATTTTTTTATAAGAGATAAGTTTCTGGGAAAAAGTCATATTGAAGTCTTCAACCACCTGTGGGAATACCAAAATCTTAGGTACAGAACCGTCTGAGAAGATAACTGAAGAACTGCTTCAATAAGGCAGGGATTGGATCAAAACATTCACACCGTTCATTGAGAAAACACTTCAACAAAAAAAAAGCTTTACAATATAAACCCTTGCTACAGGCAATGCAAAAAGGGACTGAGACAAATCGTCGTATTTTATGCAGATGCAAGGCACTGGATCACATGGGGTAAACAATTTAAGGACAACCAAAATTATTTCCAGAAGAAGATGACATACATTCAGGAAGAAACCTGTACAAAATATCACAGGAAACAATACTGTTGTAATGTGTGTTATGAAAAAGATGGGGCCAAAGCGCAATGAGCTCATGAGGCTACAGTGTTTCCCGTAGGCTCGAGAGGAATGAACGAGTCAGACGGCTCCCAAGTAGTAGGAAAAAATATCTCATTCTGAAACTAATGAGCTATCCCTCATTTTAGGAGTTTTATATGTCTCAACTCACTAACCAGACTAGTAGTTCAGTTAACAATTCTGAAAGTAATAGTTGTAGAAAAACAGCACAATTTATTTTCGGTACTATTTCAAACATTTTTTATTTTTGTAACTTTACTAGAAGACCGTGGAATGGAAAATTCCCATTGAAGAATATAACCTCACGAGCAGAAACAATCACAATCATTGCGAACTTTCACAACTTGGTGAATATCTGTGAAAAATGGATGAGTATGGAACACACACTGAGCAATCATGATATTGTTACTGATGACTTCTCGTTTTCCTACACAAAAACATGTTATGTGCTTTATGAATTATAACAAAATATAAAACAATTGATACATTCAAAATGCATGATTTAGAGTTTATTCAGGCAGATTTGTTGATTATTATTCCGAATACATATATAAGAACTTTTTCATGTTACGAAGTTGTAGAGTGTACCAATGAAAAGATCTCTATATATTCTGGTGAATGACCACTTATTGTCTATCTTTCTATTATTTAAACAGATGTAGAAGTCTTCGTGTCTGATAAAATTCAGTCTGAATTTTTTCAGATGACATTTTCAAAATACTTCTTTTATTCAATTTACTTAACGAAATCCATTGACTTAATGAGGGATTTGATGTATTGATACATACATTTTTATATTTTGTTGATAACTTTTAAGAGAAACACTTCATGTACTATCCACCGATGGATTCATTATTCTCATAAAAATCTGAGACTATTATAATGATATAAATATCTGGAGAATCTAACTATATCTTATTTTTTCCTTACTGTTTTGTTTTTGTAATTTCATGATAAAACTGGATATTTTTCTCTCGATAGCTCAAGTTGAAGTTATTTCGGTTTTTAATTTGATCTGAAAGGTATCGATGAAACTGAGCATTATATTCTTTAATGGCTTTTTTATGAAAGTAATAACATAATCGAATATATTCTTCAGGGTCACTGATCATTACGAATTTTTTTATTTGTAAGGTCCCTTAATTAGAATAAGAAAAAAAAAAGTTAAACTTAGGAGAATATCACAATTAAAACATATCTGATATGATATATAGAGATTAAACGAAGTCATGGTCAGTAAAAATAACTACTTTTCTATCTGCAATATATTATAACCTCGCTAGGATAAATGAAACAACAGAATGTTGGGAATGCTGGCATAGGAATGTTACATTAGAAGCAATTCGATATTCAACTTAAGAATTGTGGAAATATCAATAAAATGAAGTATGAGAAATAATGGGAATGTAAAGCCTGACCTGTTTTTCATTACGTATTCTAGATCTGATCATTCGTCTAAACTTAATTATCACTTATTATTCAATAGAATCAATCATTCACCAGGATACCTATAGGAACAGTATATTACAATAATCAGATTGAGTACACCAGTAGAAATGAAAACATATTTTGCCTGATATTACTTGCATGTGATTATTTACAATTCATTCGTATGTAGTGTGTCTAATTAATATTTTTTGTTGATAGGGAGGAAAGAGAACCTCTTAAACCAGAAGAGAAACCGATGACCGTGGAATATGATGGCAGATTTGTTCATTCAAAGCCAGGAGAAATTATCGGGAAACATTCAGCTGTTTAATTTGAGTTCCCAGAAACTTAAATGTTCAAAGATGACATTTCAATTTCGTGACATTACTGTGTACCAAAAACTTTTGATTTCCTCTCTCTTTGAAATGAGCACTGTATATATCAGATAAAAAACTCATTTGTTATGCTCACATTCAGATTTGGAATATTGATTGAAAATATACGGAATAATTTGTTGGACGAATATCTGACTCACAATTTGTTGTATAAGTAGTTCATCTCAATTTTTGAAATTATCTTTGATTGTAGTGTATTTCAGAATGAACCGAACACTCCATAATCTGCTGTCAATATAAATATCACCTATATATAAAATATGATTTCATATGCTTTCTGTTAACGAAATACCTACTCATCATCATCATCATCAAAAACACATATATTATAGAAAATTATCTTTTGATTGAACAAGCTGCAACGAACACATTCCTTGAGATTCATACATTAGTATTAGATACATGATAAGTACCTAATTGAAAATGACATAAAGAAAATTTTTGTGAACATTTTCAAAAAGTTATGGCTTATGAATATACTGATTCGTTACTTGATGAAAATTAATAACACCATCCATGATATTGAAAATATAATTTTCATACTATTATTTTTATTCAAGATACATAGCACGGCTCGGTAGTTTCATCAGTTGTACTGGTACATCAAACTGGTTCAAAGTATCAGTCCGATTGCTGAAACTACCGTGAAGTGAAACGCGTCTTGAATAAAATTCGTAGTGTGAAAGTTGTTTATTTATTATTATGGATAAAAAACGGCTTTTCGTGAAAGTTCTAGATGTGAACCATCATGCAAAACGTAAATACAACTACTTGTCGTAAATCTAACTATTGGTTCAACCAATCACAGGATTTTCATTGAAATGATTCGTCAGAAATTGACCAATTTATATCCCAAAAATTTGGGAAATGCTTTGTTATTTAAATATGACTCTTCAACAATTATTTTATATTGAATGAAATATGGTTCCCAAAGAGATGAAATTGTGATCATAGTATTCATCAAGCAGAGTTTTTTGCCTTATGATAACTTGGAACATTTTACTCAATAAGCATCTTTATGTAAATTTATAGCAAATACTTTCCGAAATCATGAAATATTTGTGTAGGTATATCAAAACATGACAGCTTGCCAACATACAGCCTAAATCTTTAGCCTTAAATGTATTTAGTGTTTTTGCCAAAGCTTCAATATAGCTGTGGGTTGTATAAATGTATCACTTTGTATATTTAAAAATTTTTAGGTATATTTTATCACCGTATTTTATTATAACAGTACTTAATGTTGTGATTGAACACAATACAGTAACAATGCCTGTTCCTACAATTTGTTATCTTATGATTCACTTGCAGAGATGAAATATAAAAACTATTGACTTGCTGTGGGGATATTGAGTTCATATTCCACTTTTTATATCTCAATTAACATTCACGAACTATAGTTCAAATGGTATGAAGATGGTATTATTATAAACAGAATACAGTATTAAAATAATCTTATGTATTTCATTATTAGACTTGCACTATTAGTACCTTGTGCAAGAAGTAATTTTTTTCAAATTTATCATTTGATTATGTATATTACATTACCTAAGTTATTTAGACGTTATTATTGTATTTATATGAAATATCTGTATGGGTAGCTTTTTATATGGAATAGATTACATTAAACTTTCACGACGTGTTTTTATTTTTCATATATTTCAGTCAGCCAACGACAGTTGGCCCACCAAAGTCCCACCTTTGAATGAAGTTCTTCAGGATAATGTTACTGTAGCGTTTGGAAATGATTGACAACTCTGAAAATATGCAAACTGCAGACATGTGTTGACACATGATTTAACTCTTCAGTTGATATCAGTATGTGTAGCCAAATGAAAGGTCAGGCAATACTTAGTTGCAGGAAATGCAGGGAGTCATCAACAGAAGCCAGCTGCACTTTGTGGTTTCGGTCAGATCGCCTCGGCTTAGAGGCATCACTCAAGTTTCCACGGAGTCAGCTTCACTAATTTGCATGACGTTCAAGTCCACTATATGAAACAGACAATGGTTTAGTGGGTGTATTTGAAATGAAAGAAGAACAGGAGAAATTCAGGCACAAAGCACTCCCGGTTTTTTATTTCTATTTGTTTTTTTCAAAAGTTTTGTCCGTTTCAATGTCATGTGTTTTTGTAGCTCCATATCCCAATAAATATTTATTCTACTGTATCGTGGTATATACTGATCCATAAAGAATTTCGTACTCTATACATTGAAACAGTCCAAAAAATCAACCAGACATTTGTCAATGATATTGTTGATGATCACACTGTTCGACGTAAGTTTGCAAAATTTTGTTCCAGAGATTTCATCCTCGAAGATGAGCCCCGAAGTGGTTGACCTACAGTGTTCCAGGACGACGATTTGGAGATTCTGGTGGAGACTGATCCATCATACACGTTTCTTGGAATCGTAAAAGAACTAGGCGCCAGCTCCCATGCGATTTTTGATGGTTTAAAACGCATTGGAAAGGTAACAAACCTCGAAAAGTGGGTGCCCTATGATTTGAACGATCGATAAAAATGGTCATGTTTTGAGATCTGTTCTTCTTTGTTTTTACGCAACCAAAACGATCCTTTCTTGGATCGGATCATCTCGTATGATGAAAAGTGGATCCTTTACGACAACAGGAGACGTTCAGGACAGTTATTGGCCACTTCCCAAACCTTTACAGGAGGATATCGACGAAATGTACCGGAAATTACATCAGCAGCAGCCGGCACTTCTCAAGAAAAGAGGTCCTATCCTGCTCCACGACAACGCCTGTCCGCACGTTTGACAAATAAACATCCTAAACGCCTTAACTTTTGAGATACAGGGTGGCAAAGTTTTCAAAAATATTCAGTTTTTTAATAATAACTGAGATAATTTTGTAGACATCTTTGGCATATTTGGTACATATGTTCCATGCCTCAAGGCGCATTTTCTGATGTACACAAATTTGTATTTTTTCAAACAGTGGCATCCCTACGGGTTTCGCATTGAATATTTTTGGGGAAAAAGTACTACGCCAATGCTTTCTTTTCAAAATAAAATCATTTTTAAAATCCTCAT